CCTACATCACAGACTAGCCTCGACCGAAACATAACGTAATGAATAAACAACACTTATCTATTTCTGTAAGGTTTTTTATGGCGAGGAAGATGTTGAGAGACTTCTCTTGCGGTGGGGAAATTTCGGTTTAGTAAGGACTTTTCTTGCGGCAGGAGAGATTTTGGCTTGGCAAAAGGTTAGGAAAGAGACCTTTCTCACGGTAGGAAGACATTTCTCGTGGCGGAAATAATTTCAGTTCGGAAAGAGACCTTGCAGTAGAGAAGAGCAACGAGAAATTCTACCACTTATATACTTTAGATCCACGATATTTGTAAAAAAAACGCGTAAATATTTGCCTATTATACACGTGAAGGTTTCACTCTGTCATGACAAAATATGATGTCAATTTTTTTTCAACCAGTAAAAAATGTTTGTATTGTGGTCATGATTAACAATCGAGAATTCGTAAATTCACTTAAAATTCACTTATCAATTACAAAGTACACTCTGGTCAAATTCAAATTATTATAATTAATTTTAGGTAAACATCATTTCTTTATTTGATATCATTAGGGATGTTAAAAGTCTCGACTCGGTTCGACTCGGTTCCAGGAGTTAAGTCTAGATCGGTTCGGTCCCAAGTCTAGTCACGTGATAAAAGATATCATAATACAAGATTGATAACGATAATTTACGTAACTTTTATTCAATATTTGCATCTAACCAACTCTTCAAACATATTGAAGCCCTTGTATTCTCAAGAAGGCGATTCCTTGTGGATTCAATAGTATTCTTTACCACAGAGAAGATACGTTCACAAGAAACACTTGTAGTTTGTAGGGTAAAGTAATCCACTGCCATAAGAGCTACGGTTGGGAAATAGGAAGCATTTACCTTTCACCATAATAATGGATTTACCTTTGGTTCAGAAGGTAGAGAAAGGTAAGTAGTCAGCTCATTTCCTGTTTCGTTTTCTTTATCATCATCTAATCATATTAGTCTTCGAAAAATTTCTAATAAATCTTCTGATTTATAAATTAGTTTCTTTTCTTCCTTCTGATATAATAAATAAGATATTTTTAGATAATTTATAGTTGATTGTCATTCTCCTTCGTCAAAGATTTCAAATTTTATTGATGGATCAAGAAAAGTAGGAATAGTAGAAGATTGTGAAATGTAAGTCCAGTAGGTCATTAATTTACTTTTTATCCCTTTAGCTGTTTCATAATGTTTACTAATTGAAATATAATGATCAAGATACGATAAGAGACCTCGAATAATTAATCTCAAAGGTCCGTGAGTAGGTTGCAAGGCATTTGATAAGATTAAAGTTGCCTTGTAGAATGACTTAAGAAGTTGTATTATATCCTAAAATAAGGTATGTTAATAGATATATATATATATTTTTTAAAAATTACTTTGAATAATATACTTACTTCAACTATTTTCCAGTCACCAATTTCCAAATATTCTTCTTTTAAATTTGGACGTGCCTGTATAAGAGCTTCAGTAATATTTCAGATTTCTACAAGTCATTTAAGCATTAAGTAGGTGGAGTTCCATCTTGTTTCAACGTCAAGCTTAGGATAGAGAAAGGAACAGTTTAAGATTGCAAAGATTCTTTTCATTTCTTCCAGAAGCAAAGGAAAGTTTTTTAGCTTATTACAAAAATTACGTGCCTTTTTGATTTGACTAATATAACTTTTTTGGCCTTCTTTAATAGCAAGATTTAGTACATGCGTCATGCAATGTACATATATGAAGCTAGGACTTATGAATTTTTGAAGGTGGCGTAGGCAGGTTTGATTATTTGTTACATTGTCTCCAGTAAAACCAATTACATGTTCTCTAATTTCTAAATCATCAATAAGCTTTATAACCTTCTTTCCAAGATACTCTCTGGTATGGGCATCGTGTAAGGGAATAAAGTCAAGAAGGAGGTCTCTCATTGTCTATTCAACATCAATTCAATGAACAGTAATACCAAGGAAAGGTTATTGGGTGCATGTGGTTCAGATGTCTAAAGTTAGTACCAACTTGCACTAATTATTTTTTATTATTTTCACCCTTGTTAAATCAAATTGCCTTCTTATGTTCATAGAAAGTATTTGACGACAAAGAACTTTATATCGAGAATCAAGATTATCAAATAATTTAATAAAGAATTTTTCTTCGACTAATGAGAAGGGCAACTGATTAATAATAAAGTACGTTAATAAATTATGATCTAAAGATTTGACACAAGGCTTATCAGCAGATGTGTATAGAAAGAAATGAGGGAACTTTAAATTGTTTCTTGGAAAATCTTTAAAGGTAAGGGGATGCTTTTTTTCAAAATGACATGTTATCATTGACATTGATGTATTTGCTCCCCATCTATTATTACAGATTATACATGTGGTATAAATTATTTTGCTATTGACTCAATTCCCAAAATCCTCAAAAATAATTGCATCATGACTCAATTATTTATATATTTTAATAGTGACTCAATTAATTGCATCAAATAATTGCATCAATTGCGTCAAGGATTTACAAATTTCAGCAACATATATATTACAGATCTTGCATATGTGAGTGCCATCTTCAAGTTTCTTAATATATGTGCGAACGGGTGTGGATGCGAGTTTCTGCTTTTTCTTTGATCTCTTTTCCTCTGTAAAATGTTCTTCTTTGCAGGTATCTTCAACAAAAAAATCATCAGTGAAAGAACTATCAAACTGATCTGAAGTAAAAGACATAATACATTTGAAGATGTTAGATAAGAAAAGTAAGTGGTCTTTTATAAATATTATTTAAACAATTAGAATTAACTTCTATTTTCGTTAATGAATGATGTAAAAGTTCCATGAATTTAGCTAACTTAAAATTAACGCCATGTGCACATGATTCGAAACTTAATAGATTGAGGAGGCATTCGATATACAATTGACTTCGACCTAAATTAGCAACCGAAGAACAAATTAATTGTGAAGATCTCCCATAAGAAAAAAGAACCAATAAGATACCTAGGAATTTTATTATTAAGGGTGCAAAGGGGTAGTATATTTCTTTTATTAGCATTATGTCCAACATGTACAAAATAATTAACAGACATGTCACCTACCTATGTAATAGAGTCCTAGTATTTGCAGGATATAAAACGAACATTATTCTTTCGAAAATACTATGCGTTGAAGTTAATACTGTATTTTATGAAGCCGTAGAAAGTAAGGCGAAAATTCCTAGGATAATTCTAAATAAGCGTTTGAATGGTTATGAGCTATGCAATATATTGGATGTGTTTCAACATATAAAAGACCTTATGTACCGAGTAAACCGGGCTAGACAAATTACTAGAATCGGATTCTGGCGAGATCAAAATAACTTCTTATTATATACTTTGATAATGGGAGCAAAACGACTTACTTTGACAGATAGAAAGGTACGAACTATAGAAGTACTTGAATGCTTTACTCAATCCAAGAATCAATTATCATGTATAGGCTATAAGATAGATCAAAGAAGACTTAAGGAACAGCCCTTCGATATCAACATGCTCAATAAACTATCCGTACTAAAAAACAAAATGTTAGAGATAGAGACATATAATATTTATATGGATAGATCAGTAAGGGGAAAAATAAGCACAATAGGATGGGTTTTTCAAAATCAGCAAGAAATTAGTTTTGCATCAAAAATAGCAGAAAATTGCAACGTGATTCAAGCTGAACTATTGGCAATATTGACATCTTTGCATGCTGTACCTAAACTATCAGATGTAAATATCTTTACAAATAGTGAGGAAGCCATTGGTCTAATAAAAAAAAATATCAATAATTTGCTCTTAATGCAAAATCACATGATGCATACTATCTTACAAATGATAAAGAGTTCCTTGATAATATATAACATAAAAATACGACTTCACAAGGTACGAGCACACTCGAATAATAAATGGAATGATGAGACGGATAGAATAGCAAAAGAAAGCCATAAGGACAGAACTGCTCTTACTTATAACACTTTGTGGGGCATCAATATACAGGAATTCGCAAAACCATCACCGAATGAAAAAAAATAGTTTCTTCTAAAGTAATATATAGTTTTAGAAAAATCGTTAATATAAAATATACTTAAACATTTAATTTATTAAATGACAAATCTCTTGTAAACTTCGACCAAGTATTGTGTAATATGTTATGTCACAAGAAATTTAATATCACATGTCCGCTATAAATATACGCAATTGTTTCTAATCATGTGATAAAAGGGACAGGTTAGAAGTTGACTTGGGACAACTCATCTCAAGCAGACTCAAAAATCGACTCCATCAAGCTTTTTAACATCCCTAGATATCATATATAATAAAGTATACATCATGAAAGAAACAACATTTCTTTCATTATTTCAGGAAAGTTAAATGCTAACTTGCCTACTTAACATTACCTAATTAATATTGTAAAAAATTTCTAAAGCAATATTATGGTACTAAATAAAGCTGAGTAGTGACTATGCCTATTAACTCAGAAAATTTTGTGAAAATTTTTGATTTTTTTTTTTCAGTAAAACATTATTTCTTTATTTTTATGGTATTGGTAAATACACTAGTAAAAGAAACAATATCTCTTGGATGCAAAGCATATAACAAGTTAAATGCTAGCTTGTTTATACATCTATATCTAGCTAATATTGAAAAGAAATTTTAAAACAATATTATATATGCTAAATATAATTGAATAGTAGTTATGCTTATTTAGAATTTTTGATTGAATGTAAATAAAATAAGAAATAAAAGAAAATTGAGAAAAAAAGAAAAAAAATTTTTATATTTGATACTATACAAGTAAAAAATGTAATAAAACTAGTTATATAATTAAGGATAATTATTTAATATATTACTCTGATAGTTCTATTCTATTTGAGTATATTAAAGAATATATTTTTTTGATTGGCCAGGCTACTGTTCAAAGTATATAGTAATAATAATAATATGTCTTCTTGATAGCTAATAGTACATAATAATAGTAGTTGATTAGTTGGATAGTTGTTTAAATATAAAGTAATAAAACTAATTATATAATTAAGGATGTTTATTTAGTATACTACTTTGATAATTCCAATCTGTTTAAGTATATTGAAGAATATACTTTTTTGATTAATCAGACTACTGTTCAAAATATATAATTATGATAATAACAAATATCCTTGATAGTTAATAGTATATAATAGTAGTAATTAATTAGTTGAATAATTGTTTGAGTATAAGAAGTTTAGGTGTGATAATTGTTGATTTGCAAAATTAAAGCTGTATTGTTGTTTTTTAACTGGTGATTGATAGAACATATTTGTTGTTTTGATGTTTATTGATAAAAGAAGATTATATGGTTAAATAGATTTTCATTTTTGGTGTTGTTTATATTAATCTTTAGCAGATATAATAAATATGTTAAATGTTTGGTAATATGTGATTGGTTGAAAATAAGATATTAATCAGTTGCCAGGGACAAACTGATTGTGATTTTTTGAAAAAAAAAATTTTAAACAAGAATTTTTAATTTTTTTATAATATAGCAAAATGTATTGAGTAATAGTAGAAGTTGTTTTTTGTATATACTAGTAGTTTCCCAGACCAGTAATATAAACAAAGATAAAGTAAGAATTTGTGTTTTGAAATAAAATAAAGTTCTTTAAGTCAAGAATATAAATATTTAAAAGTATTTGTATATTAATATAAAGTATTTTAATAAGAAATAAGAATGGAAAAAACCTAAGAAAAACTTATAAAAAATCAACTGCTACAAGTCTTTTCTTATACAATTCAAAAGAAAAGCAAGTTCCTCAAGCTTGCTTACTTCTGACCAGAGATTTCATTTCAATGCACCAGTGTACTTCTTTAATTCCTTGAGATTTTGATAGTAAAAGTTAAAGAAGTATAGAGGACTTGTAAGTATTGAGAAGCAAAATGAATATATTTTTTTTAATTTTAAAAAAATTATTATAAAAGAAAATTTTTAAGAAAAATATTATGTATAGAAAAAAGTTATTAATTTTTTAATACAAAGTTTTTTAAAAAACAATAGATTAAAAAATTTTTTTGATTTTTTAAATATATGAAAATTGAAAAGAAAATAATTATAATTATAACTAAAACTAAATTAAATAATCTAAAAATCTATAAGTAAAAAATCAATTATTTTCTCAAGAAAGCTTCTGAATAAGCTCATGGTCTTATCTCTTCAGCTTTTTGATTATCATAAATAATAAAGTATATGTGAAGTTGTTTGTTGTTATAGTTGTTAGTGAATATATGATTGACATTGTTATTGTAATTGTTATTATAATAAAAAACTGATTTGAACAGATTTAGTTTTTGTTTTGATTTTTAAGTAAAATCTGATTGGATAATTGAAAAGTGCTGATTATCTGTAGGGGTAAGCTAATTTCAGTTTTTTGATCAAATAAAAAAATTGAGAAATTTGAAATAGCACAGTAAATATTGCTATAATAAAGTAATATTTATGAGTTAACTTGAAACAAACAATAGATTTACTAATTTTGTTTAAGTATATATTTTGAAAAGTATTTGTTTTAATAAGTATAATGATAATGATGTGAATAGTTTTTATAATAGAATAAGAATAAGAAGGAATGCAAAAGAACAAAAGAATAGTGAATTGCTACAGGTTTTTCTTTATGCAATCAAAAAATAAGCAAGACTTCCAAACTTAAATAGACTTTAACCAAAGGTTCCATTTCACTGTACCAGTTATCTTGAAGGTTTTTGAGTTTCTAAGCTGGGATTAATTTACAATAAAAAAAGTAAAATATTTTTTTTGCTTAAAATTACTATAGATGAAAAAATTTTAACAAAACAGATATAATTAGAAAAAAGATTTTTTATATTTTAACTATTTTATTTAATAACCTTTTTATTGTATCAGTTTTTAAATTTTTATTAGTTAAAAATATATGTTACAAGTATTATTAAATAATTATATACTATATATGCTAAAACTGGAAATTAATATTTTTTTACCTTTTACTATTTTAATATATTTGTTTTTTTGTTGCATATTATAAAAAAAATATAATTATAAAAAAAACTCTTTCCCACTCCCCTCTAGGCATTTGAAAATTTCCTTTTTAGAAAATTTTTGAGTTTTTTACTTTTCTTCGTCTTCCCTTTTTCCTTTCTTTTCATTTTCCCTTCCCTACTCCTGTTTATTCCTTCTCCCTTATGTTTTCCCCTCTCTTTTTTATACTTTTTTTTTTCTTTCATCTATATCCCCTTCCCCTCCTCTTATTCCTTTCCCTGCCAAAGCTAGATTTTTCCCTTTTATTTGAAGGTTTTCCTTTCTAGACCTCTCTTTCTCTTGAAAAATCCACTCTTCATAGCATAAACCCTCTGGCCAGTTGGTTTCCTTTTCTCAAGGGTCATATCAAGAAGCGATAACTTTTTTCAAGGCATGGGCTTCAGGAAATTTTTCTCTTTCATAGTTTTTTTAGAAAAAGGATGGATGGTTTACCCCCTCCAAAAGATAAACATGGTCATCATTACCAAATCTGGTGTTGTTTACTGAGTGATGGCTTTTTTAGACTGGATACATCTAAGAAACTGGTGTACAACTATTATTATCTGAAAGTACCCAAGGAGTTGTGCCCCACTATTTCCAGAGTGATGTGGTAGTCAATGCCAATGCACTAATATAATGTTAGGTTAGCTGCAGGTGCCATACTGGTGGTTGGGAAAACTTAATAAGATAATACGTGAGACCAGGGATTCCAGTTACCCCACAACATGAGCTAGTGACGACAACGAAAGTTCTCTACTCACCCCTCCGACAATGCAGGTCTAGTGTACAGGGTTAGGTATCAACACTTATAAAAAAACTTCTACTTTTCTATATCCAACACTTTTTCAACAATCCAATACTCCACATGTAAACCTTCTCTCTCTATTTTCCGGATTCAAACTATTCTTTAACCAAAACACACCCTTCAGAGCTATCTTACAGCAAAGTTAATTGCCACCTCTCAACCTAAAGTCCTAGTAATGAGTTCGAATAAGAGGTCAATACTAGGTGCAGTTGGTAAAAGATTAACTCTACTTCAGAATGGCATTGGTGATAAAGTTGGTTGCCACCCTTCAGCCTAAAGTTCTAGTGATGGGTTTGAATGGAGAGTCAATACTAGATGTAGTTGGTGAAGGACTAACAATATTTTGGTATGGTTTGTTTCTAGCATAGTTTGAATTCAACACTTTATCTGCTTGCTGGATATCAAGTCATATTTGGAAAGCAAGCATGCCAATTCTAGTTATGAGTTGGAGGCAAACCTGTATATAGTGGCTGCAGCACCTTCATGTAACTAGGGATCATTTATTCTAGGTAGCTAGACACCATTCAAAGTTTAATATAGGTTTTGAAATTCATTTTCCTGTATTTTTAGGTGGTGCTAAGGAGCGCAGGCGGATGGGTCCTTATGGTAGACCTTGCATTAAATCCTTCCTAACAAGGGAGATGTATATCATATACTTAATATAAAATCTTGCCCTGTTACAAGTCTAAAATTTATAATAAAAACACATGCGGGGAGCCACCCGCTTCTTCAATATATATATATATATATATATATAATTATAATTTTTTTTTTTGCAAATAGATATTAAATATAAAACATTTATTAAACTTTTATTTTTACATTATTACATTAATAATCTCTAAATACAAAGTACATAGATTAATCCTAGCCTATTGCAAATAAAGTTGACATATGTGAATCTTTGAAAACCCAAGTAGATGAAAAGTAAAAAAAAGTAAAAAATAGCTAATTACTAGTTGTATTGTAAATCTTGCATATGTGTTCTATAAGTGATAATAGTGAAGAGTAGTGTAATGCTTGGGTTTTGAATTGTGACCTGGACCTATATAATTATATGGCCAAAAAGAATATAATTAAGGGTTGATAATCTTGTTCATATTAATAACCCAGATACTAATATGATATAATTAACTTACATTAATCTTTTAATGAAAGTAAACTGCTTATAGTTTTTTTATCACAAAAAATTTGGAAACTAAA